TAATTTTCTGCAGCCTAATGCTTCTCTTGGGCTGCCAGCTGTGCACACAAAGTGCTAAAAGTTTTCTCTAAGAGCTTTTAATGTCTGCAGATGATTTCTAGAATTGTGATGACTGTAAATTCATTAACGATCAAGCCCTGAGGCAGGTCAGGTACATTTAGCCCACCTCCTAAAGTAGCTGTTATCTTCATGAAGACTTCATATAATACAGTCTTTCTGGGCAAATATTTGCCTGTGTTCATGCGATATTTTCACCTAATTTAAATCTTCTTTGCTGCAAGCAGCTGAAGTCTTTGAACTCTCCTTCCTAGGCTGTATTTCTTAACAGTTGTATATTTCTTGGAGAAAGTCCAGAGAAATCTTGGAGGTGCAGTGTCTAAGCTGGTTACAAGCTTCATTTTGCATGAGGAAAATTTAAGTACTGCTGTTAATTTCAGAAACGACACTGTACAGTTTTGCAACAGTGTCACATCAGTGAGCCAATTGGTCTGTGGTTCACTTTAATCCCCAGATCAAATTTTAGTAGTGCTGAAGTTTACTGGGCTTGAAATTCGTTCATCTAAATGTGGTTGGGTATCTAACTGTTGCATAGCATAGCTATAAGTATTCTCAGATCAGTTCACTGGAAATGTGTTTAACCGCACTTTCTCTTCTGTTTTTGTCATAAGGGATGACTGCAGCTTGTGACCCTTTAGCAGCTGTGAACTAGAAACAGTCATGTAAATGGGGTACATACAGTTGTATAAACTCAAAAGATTCCTGTAACAGTAGCCTAATAAATGAGTAATTCTCCTTTCTGTTCTTTGATAAACTTTTACAGTAATACTTTATGTTTTTGTCAGATTCAAATAAAAACTTTCTGCTCTGGAAAACAACTTCTGCCCTTCGAGTTCTTTACCTTAAGTACTACATTTTTGTAGTGAGGCAGTTGCATTTGTACAGCAGTAATTCAAAGTATTCTAATCTGCTTGCTGTTGCGGTAAAAACAGTATAAATACTGTGCAAAACCAAGTATTTGAGAACTTCACAACTCTGTTTGGTCTCCTGGCCTTTTTGTTCAGAATCTCACAACAGATTATCTGCAAAATTCAGCAACCTCTCCTTATGTATTTGGAGGGGTCCAAATCCTGTTACTTTGGTCTTGAGAAGAATAGGACTGTTCCAGGAATTTGTATCGACTGAAATAAATATGGATGGACCAGCTGGATTAAAGAATGAAAGAGGCAATAAATAAAGGGTCTCAAGAAGTAACTAGACATGTTCCAGAATCCTCTTTTGAAACACGTCTGTAATTGTTGAAAGCCTTAAGGGGTCATTAACACTGATAATACTTTATGCTTTTTACTGAAACAGCTTCAAAGAAGGTATCAGCCATAAGAATTTATGCACTACAGAGGATAGGCCATGTAGTAAGCTCATTCTTGTTTAGTCATACCAACTGTTTTGAGAATTAATTCCTCTCAGTTAATAGCTATATTGATAGGGATTTTCTTGTTTTATTCTGTTTCTGTGGCTTGGAAAAAAACATTGCATATGTCCAGTTCATTACGTACGACTTCCCTGAAGCTAATTCTGTTTAGACCAGAGTATATTCCTAGAAAAATGTTAGTTCTTTATAGAAACTTTGTCCTGTGAAGGAGCAGACTACCAGTTATATAGTTTCATGAGTCAATTATTTTCACCATGGAACTGCTGCCATTCGTAGGTTTTGTCTATTAGCCTTGGTCCTGTATTAAATTTCTTAGCTTTTTGTAGTATTCATGTATGGATTAAAGACTTCCTGTCTCCCAGATGTTCTTTAAATAAGTTAGTTGAATTATTAAGCTTTTTGGTCTTAAAGGTATTTTTAATTTTCATGTCAGTTTTTGTGGTGGTGATCTTTCAGGTTACTTTCAGCCTGCTTCTTTAAAACTGTGTACTTCAGCTGGCACAGTGTTACAGTAAGACACCAGTGTAAAGCAGAGACATTACCATTACCCCACTGTGTACATTCAGAGATCATGTCTGCCAGTTTATTGTAGAAATACATTCACTTTATTATCAACTGTAATTTCAAGTCTTTCAGAGAAGTTAACTCCTGGCTACAATCATTCCTACTAGAAGACATACATTTTTCATTCCCTGATGTGTATAACATTACACATTTCAAAACAATCAAATAGTTTTAGGTGTTTTATGCCTAAATTCACAGGCCAGTTCAGTATAAATGACACCTGCATTATTCTTGTTTTCCCATGACTTAGAAACATTGACAATAACTTCAAACTTTCCAGTTATAAACAGAAAGGGGGAATAATTTAGGTATTAGAAAGTAATTTCTGGAGGGGTGTATTAGATCTATACCTCTGTTACCACTTGTAGGTGTGTATGTATAAAATACATATGAATACAAATACACTTCTGGATCAGAAATTTAGATTGAGTTTTTGATGCATTTAATATCTATCATTAACTCTTACTGTTTTAGAATATTACTAGAATGTCATTGGTACAATAATACTGGAGTAGGGTTCTGGTGACTAAACATAGCCTACATTTGCCATTTTAGATCTCCTGTGATTTTTCTGCCTGGCGTCGCAGCTTCTTCTCTAAAAATAAATAAATCTCTCATAGGCTTCTACAGTAATATTTGCCAATCCTGTATGGATTTCTTGAGCCTTCTAGGGCATATGAGAAAGTAATATCAGTCAATCCTCAGGCAGCGGAAACACATCCTGTATGTATTACAGAAAAGTAGCAGTGTTGTATTTATTGACTAAACTTGTTACCTCAGATTTCAAAAGCTCACTCTAAATTCACCCTGGATTAGCACTAATTATCCTCTTTTAATTGTATTAGGGTTCCATATTTCTTCCCTTTCTCTCCTACCACCCAATCAATTTTGAATGGATCTTGCTGGTAAAAGGTAATTGGTAGAATTATAGAAATGTTAGTTGGAAGGGACCTCTCCATGGTGGTGTGTAGGGTTTTGGGGGGGAAGAGGAGGTTGGTGTTGGGAGGAGTGTTTGTTTTGGTTTTTTGAAACTTGAAAACCTTTGGTGATAGAAATTCCATAACCCTTCTGGGTTTCTAACCTGCGGTGCTGTGTGAAATATGGTGTTAACTACTTGTTTAGATGTTTAGATAAGTACATTTAAGTTTTATTGTCTCATATAACCTGCAGCCTTATGCCTATCCATTTAGCTAATTCTTCCAGGTTTTTTTTTAGAGTTGGTTTTTCTTTTCCATGGGAAACTAAAGAGATGACAAACAAGTAATCATATATTTTTTCCATTGTTTTTATTCAGATACTGAACACAGAGTTGAACTTTAGCAGGATTGTTTTTAATGCAATGTGTAAAAAATGTGAAAAATGCTACAGCTGTGTTTCAGGTGCAAGTGCACATAAAACCAGTGTTCAGTATGGAGATACTGCTATAAGTATTAGAGATGCATTGAATTCGGTGTGTCAGAATATCTCCCTTCAGAGAAATATTTAAAATCTGAATGAAAGGGCAGCCTTTTTGAAAGATACTTACCTTACTGTAAATGATACCATTTATCAAATTGATTTCAGTATATAGACACACATGTCTAAAAATATAGCATCCTTAAAAATAGTATGTGTATATGGAGTAGGAGGGGGAAAAAAAGCCTCGTGCATCTTAACAGCAATTGATGCCAATAGCATTGGACCCTCATTTTAGGAAAGGCTATTTGAGTAAATAACTCTAAACTGCTGAGTCTATAAATGCCTTAGCAATGCTAAGGAATGAGAGTGCTAACAAGAATGAGTGTGTTGAAAAAGAATGGATAAGAGAGAAACAAAATATGGAACTTGTTGCTCTCAAGTTGGATGGTTTCTGTCCTAAAAAACAAACAAACAAAAAAAAAATCAAACAAACCAAAACAAACAAAAAAATCAACACTACTGCAGGCAATAATTAAAATGCTACAACTTAGCTGGCTAAATCCATCAAATGGTGTGGAATATCATCTAGAATTGCAAAGATCATGAACTCGGTAGGACAGCATTTATGGTCGTAGAATCTTTTACTTGCCATAAGTTGTACTAGATGAGTGAGAGGAGAGACCTGTGTGTATTAAATATGTGAATGAAAGTATGAATTCAACATAAAGGGAAAAACAACTCTAAGTTTAGCAAAGGTCTACTATGAGGTGTCAGTGCCAGTTTATGGGGCACGCAGTAGACTTCAGCTGGTGTAAAAAAGGTGATTTAATCACTTTTTAAGAATGATGGGTTTTAACTGGAACAGGTACAACGAGAAGGTGCAGGAGGATCAGGGAATGGTATATTTACTTCTTGAGATCTGTATTTTGGAGCTTGTTTGAGAGGGTCCTAGAGTAATGGGTAAGAGAGGATATGTTTAGTCAATATAAATGAATAAAATGGGTGGGTAAAGGAGAAAAAAAGTCACTTCATTTAACAGATATTGCCAAAAACCAAATGTAATTTACCTGGAGAGTCCACATAGTCTTGAAGTTGAAAGGCTTCCAACAGTCAGCATAGTCATGTTTCAGACCTGTAGAAATATAACTTGTGTCAGAATGGAGCCTAAGTTTATCATGAGGCAGATGTAATTGTTTGCAGTGGTGTAGGACTGTATCTGTGGTCTTTTGAGACTTCTGCTTAGTGAGAGAAAACACTGCTGACATTTCACCCATGAAATTAAGTGACCTTTTATATTAAAAGGTAATGAAGAGATAGTAAGAGAAAGCAGGGTGCATATAATACATGTCTTATATATAACTTGTAAGATATATGAACCACTGTTGTTAAAATATATCCTGCCCTTTCTGTATAAATATCGTAGGTAAATGCAAAATATATATGTACCAAAAAAAAAATCCAACCCACCTTGAATAACTTTAAGCATGTGTTGTAAAAGTGATTACACTTTTATATATAAACATTTTATGTTACATAAAACAACCAAACCCCAGATTCCTTAACTTCAGTAGCTATGTAACTTTTTTTCTTCCTTTCTTTTTTCCTTCAGATAACAGTGATCTCATTGCTTGTACAGTAATAACAAAGGATGGGGGTCAAGTTCAAAGATTTCTGGCTGTGGATATTTACCAGATGAGTTTGGTTGAGCCAGATGTTGCCAGACTTGGATGGGGAGTAGTTAAGTTTGCAGGCCTTTTGCAGGTAAAAAGTTTTAATCTCTGTGATTACTTTCTCAGCTGAAAATCTACATTTGTGTTGGATAAACAGTAACACCGATATTACTTTAAATATTTAAGCTCTGTACCACGCTTACTTGTTACTTCTCTTACTAGTTTTTTTCATAGTTCCTGCCTTTTAAAATAGTTGTGGTATTCTGAAGAAGTTTACCTAGCAAACTAGAGGCATACTTGAAAATGAGGTAACTTCTCCAGTATATATTGGGCTGTGTTTATTTGAACACTGAAATCATATACAATTAGGGTTGAGTCCCAAGCACTTTGCTTAAGTGGCCCAGTAATGAACTCTCCCAGAGTTCTGATCTTCCTACATCAATAAGGAAGGTGACACGTTGTAACTTCAAAAAGATCTGTGCTTATCTAATTGATTTCAAAAGCTTTAAGAAGTTTCTCTCATTTATGTCTCTTTATTGCCTTATTCAACACTGTTTATATTTCCAGAAAAATTGATATGCTCAAAAACATAATTGGATTTTAAACTGACTTAATCTCTGTGAGTACCAATTTCTGAAGAACTAAATCCAAGGTTGTACAACTGGCATAGTCCTTAAAAAAAACAGAAACTGTTTTTTTAGGAGCTTTATTGGAGCGTTCAAAGGGTTTTCTTTTAATGTTGAGATTTAATCCATAGTGTAAAAGTGTTAAATTTTCATTAGCTGCTTGCCTTCTGTTTCTTTTTAGGATATGCAGGTGACGGGAGTAGAGGATGACAGTAGAGCTCTGAACATAATCATTCACAAGCCTGCCTCAAGTCCTCATTCCAAGCCCTTCCCTATCCTTCAAGCTACATTTATCTTTTCTGATCACATTCGCTGCATTATTGCAAAACAACGTCTTGCAAAAGGCCGTATCCAAGCTCGACGGATGAAAATGCAGAGAATAGCAGGTGAATGGTTATTTTGAAGTGATTTTGAGAAACAAGACTTGTATGTCATATCGGGTAACTCTGTAACATAAGGATGTGTTAGAAAAATCGGAGAAGTGGTATGCCGCAGAAAACTGTAAACCAGCGTCTAGTTTCCAAGCAGTAGATTTTATTGGAGTAAAATATGTGTGTTCCTATCTAATGATAGACATATCAAAGATCAAAAAGAAGGAATCCTGTCTTGTTACCACTAGCTGCCAACCATTTCACAAACCTCAGCATTTCTCTTTAAACATTATTCACAATTCAAATGCCCTACTTGAAAAGCAAATCTTCTACTGCCTTAGGACAAAAATTGGAGTTCAGCTTGCCTGAGTCTTGAGTTGGATGGTGTCCTGATGATGTTGATGATAATGCTTAATGCTTGGATATGGTGATGATGAGCAATCCAAAATCTTTAGTGGACTATCAGCAGCTAGATTTCTGTGTTTGGAGGAATTGCATGCAAAGAGATGGAAAGAGTTAATTTGAATAAATAGGAAAAAATGATTAAAATATTACTTGAATATTAAGTGAGTGAAAATTAAATTGAAGCTTACCAGTAAACTGAAATAATTGGTGAGTATAAAAAATGAAACTGAAATACAGGAAGGACAATAGGTTGGCAAGTGAAAAAGGACACCAACTATCTCAGTTACTTGGATTGTCCAAGAGCATAATGAAATAATCAGTTGTGAAAAACAGAGTCATATCTGGTATTAAAATTATTGAGTTGTCCGGAGAATTATTTTGATTATAGATTCTTTAAGATTATTTTAGTGTCTTATGGTTCTGTAGGAAGCTAACTAAAGAGTTTTATGCTTTGAGTTTACAAAATAGACATGTCATACTTCTGTGGTTTGCTTCATGTTAAAAAGAACTCAAAATGAGTTTGAGGTTAATATAGATCTATTTTGGTACTAAAATTTTACATTGAATGGTAATGCAAAGACATTTTTTTGCCAGTTTAAAGCAGATTGTCTCTTTAAATGGCTTTCTGCAATGTTCAGTTATAACTAATTAATGTCTTAATTTGTGCAGGAAAACACAGAAGGTTTTGTGATTTTTTTAAATAACTTCTATGGCTTGTTTAATGCAAGGGGATTACTGTAATCCTTTTTTTCTTCTACAGTGTATTCTGAGGCTTCCTTAGTGTGAATGTGGTGTGAACAGCACTGGTAAAAATGGTTGCCAGAAATGTTGTCTCTCTTCTTTTCCAATGCAATTGTAACCATCATTAAGAGTTAAATGAAGGCAAGTTATGTTAAACAATCCAGTTTAGTCTTCAGATCTTGAGGAAACTATCAATTTTATTCTCACCTACTCTTACGTATTTTTGAGTAACAAAAATTATCAATTGTGATTAAACATAGCTCTCCTGGATCTTCCTGTTCAGCCTTCAACTGAAGTTGTTATGGGTTTTGGACACAGCTCTGCAGCTACAGCCCAACACCTTCCATTTAGATTTTATGATCAGTCACGACGTGGTAGCAGTGATCCTACGGTGCAACGCTCTGTTTTTGCATCTGTTGACAAAGTTCCAGGTAAGATTACCATTCGTTATCAAGCAGTTTTTGCTTTGTGATTTGTATCTGCAAAAGCTGAACTGTAATTTCTGTAAGTAATTAAAAGCTTACTGTGATATGTTTCCGAACACACAACTGCAGGATGAGACATATGGAAGAATTTCCTCCTAGAGAAACAATATCTGTGTGTGCATGCCAGGTATGTTGTGAGCAATACATCCATGGCAGTTTCTCCAAATACACTGAAAGTATCTTAACACTTTGCCTTCCTTTACAAACTGAGTTAGTTCAAGTTTTGCATATCCACTATGCAACACATCTGCAGTTCTGTCTCTCATAGCTGGGATACTGTGCACTACTTCGTTTACCTTAGAGCTAGAAAGACAGAAAAGGGCCACAGCTACTCTTAAAAAACTAGCTTGGAATTGGGAGCAAAGGAATAACTAAATCAATGAGCCTTTTGCTCTTTTGTCTGCCTATTGTCTATTTCACAAGCTGACTTCTCTACAGAGTTTTTTGTCCAGATGGTGAGCTTTTCTCCTTTTGAATTGAGTCATTTCAAAGTTGAATCTCATACTGCTTGAAAGTACTTAATTTTGCTGTATTATACAAAAAGATGCAATCTTGTTACAGATAGCTGCCAGTCATTTCACAAAAGTCAGCGTTTCTCTTTAAATGTGATTCAGTGATTCAAAATCCAAACACCTTACTTAGAAAGTAGATGTTATACTGCCTTAGGGGCTAAATTGGAGCTCAGCTTGCCTGAGTCCTGAGTCTGGGCAACAGAAATCATAAAAGCATTTATATTACTGGTCAGGTTTTTCAAAAGACAAGTGTATGTTGAACGATGGGAATGTAGTTCCTTATTTGACATGACTTCCATGGAAAAGGTGTGGTTGAAAAGATGCCAGCGTGACTGTTTCAGAGTCAGTCTTCATAAAGAAGAGTGTGTTTGTGTTCATAACAAGTGACTTCTAAGTTTTGGGCGGGGTGGGAGATACTGGGGGTGGTACAACATGGTAGTTTGTCCAAACAACCACATACTGACTTTGAATTCCAGGAAATGGAGAATTCCACTGTACGCACATGCAAATCCAGAAGAAAAAGTATTTTGAAGCTTTTATTTGATACCAATTATGAGAAACCAGGCGCAGAACGTGAAAAAGCCTCTTACTTCTCCCCATATCTTAAGTAATGAATGAATGAGGTTCATTCATTCATTAATAGTTCCGAGTGATTTTCATAGGAAGCTATCTGTGTTTATCCCTTAATCATTCTTGGAGTGATTTTTTTCTTTAAGAGAAAGATTTTGTGCCTTTTAAAAAAAATGTATTGAACAAGTTGCAGTTAAATTACTAGCTTCATGTATTCATTTCTTAATGCTACATCTTTTAAGTGGTGTTTGAGTTCTGCAAAGCTCATATGATCTGTTAATTTGTACTTGTGAGAAACAAGTTGTGCTTTCCCATGTTTTCACCTGTGCTTGGTGATGGTGTTTTTTGTTGATTTAAAGGAGAGCTATGTTTTTAGCAATATTTTTAGAAGGCTAATCACTTTTTTTAATAGGACCATGTTATCTGTCAGTGCTGTACATGCATGTCGTGGTTTGAGCCTGGTCAGCAACCAACCACCGCAGCTGGTCACCCTCCCTTCCCCCTCCCCACCTGGGAATGGGGGAGGGAATTAGAGGGGTGAAGGGAGACTCGCACTCGCAGGCTGAGATAAGAACAGTTTAATAATGACAATAAAGTGAGAACAATGACAATGGGGGGGGGGGGGAAGAAATATATAAACAGGCAATGTACAACGTAATTGCTCACCACCCGCTGACCAATACCCAGCCCGTTCCCGGCCAGCGACCCCGAGATACCAAGATCCCCCAGTCGCAATCCCGGAAGCGAGAGAGCCCCTTCCCAACCACCCCTCCTCTATACAGTGAGCATGACGTTCCATGATATGGAATATTTCACTGGCCAGTTAGGGTCAGGTGCTGTGGCCGTGCTCCCTCCCTGCTCCCTGTGCCCTTGCGCACGGGCAGGACATGGGGAGTCGGAGAGTCCTTGAAGTCTCGGTAGCAGCTGAAAACACCAGTGTGCTATCAGCATTCTTCTCATACCAAACCCAAAGCTAAATCCAAAACACAGCACTCATCTAGTCCCTAGAAAGGAGTATTAACTCTATTTCAGTCCAAACCAGGATAATGCAGCATGATTTTGCCAAACATGATAAGGATACAAATATTTTCAGCCCTCCTGCAAATGTCACTCTGGAGAATTTTAGTACAGCTATTGAGTCAGTTCCCTAATCCCTCTTCTCAATGAATTTAAAGTTTTCAAGAACACTTATATCAGTCTAGTCTGGTTCAGTTTCTATCATAGTGCATACATAAAGCTGTACATATTTCACTAGAGAGCATGCAGTTACCTTATTGTAGTCAAACTGTGCTTCACATTGCTTTATTGTCTTATGGTCCAAAGTTAAAATCTGTTTAGAAAGCATTTCTTGATATCTGGGGGGAAGAGGGTGCGGGTTGTCATAGCTTAAAACCAGATTTTGTGCAAGACAGGTGAAAGGTGACAAGTATATACAGACCAAGTTTCATAACATCCCTGTTAATACTCTTTATAAAGTACAGGTTATGCAAATACAGTGAGGTGATGTAATCATCCTAAATGACTGGCTTCATAAACTGGGCAATTCTTATCAGAGAACAGAAGCAGAATCCTTCACTTGATCCATTTTATCATCATGAAGTCATGACCATGAATATACTTTAGGGTCTATTTTAGGTTAATTGCCTCTGCCAGAATGTTATAGCATTTTAGGGATAGTTTAGCTGGCTGTACTGTTCACCATCTTATATATTAGTTATGTATTCATATGATGTTTTTGAAGCACTCTGTGTAAATAATTACATTGTTTTCAAATAAATTAGCAGATTTAGTAGGTGTCCTGTGAATGTAGGTCTTATATTGAAAGGAAATAAATAATCACTTCCTCTCTGAGGAAACTCAAATATTAGTTTCAAATAAGAGCTATATACTGAGATTTATATCCCCAGTGTGTCTTAAGGGAAATCTTAATGATTTCCTGCAAAACATACATCTAAATATTTTAATAGATGTGGTTACTTTCCTACTGAGAAAATTTATTTTGGAAAGCAAAATGAATCAATAGATCTTTCTTGCTACTTTCTCCATTGTTAGTATGTTAGTGTATGATGATGATTATAAGATTTTCGGGGGAAAAGTTGGAAAAAACCTTCTTGTTTAATATTAGCCATTGCAAGCAAAGTATAGCCATCTTAATTTTAAAATCCAAAGGGAAAAAAAATGGTCTTTTATAGCTTTGTAAGCCTTTAAATGAAAAAGAAAATGTAGGCGAGAATTCTGTATAAAGTTTGTATCATTTCTTGGGGTTAGGAAACCTAGAGAAAGCTCAAGAATTGTTTAAGCAGTGTTTAAGATAGTTCAGATTTCTGTGAAGGAAATTTAGTTTTGTCAAATATTAACTCTAAAAGCATATTATATTCTATAAAAAAATTGTGCCCTTTTAACGTGTCACTGCAGGTAGGCATAAAATCATAGATTTTTTTAAAATTAATAATATGAATGCATTATTGAAATGTGTATAACCTTTTGTAATTTAATTGCTTTCTCTGTTCCACAGTAAGAAAACAGATGCTTTTGATCAAAGAGCTAATGACAGGCTTGACGTTCGCAGCTGATGAGCATCTGCGTTTGTTACTGATTCTTTGAGATGAGATTGCTCAGCAGATCTGAATGTCATATACAAATTGTGTTGGAACTGCACTGTGGGACTCTGATCAACCCTTTCATGTTCATCATCAAACATAGCTACTGTAGGATCATCAGATTGGGATACTTTACCTCAGTAGTACCAAGTTACTTTAAGTGTGAGATGGTTGAAGTGTCCCATGCTCCATAATTCTAGAATACAGTTGCTTTTATAGCCTATAAGTATATTCAAAGTATTTTTTAATTCCTCTATTCTATGCTAGAATATTGGAGGACAACTGGTAACTCAGTTTATCACCTGTTTTTTTCTAATTAATATTCTTTGAACCTTTCCAAACTTTAATATGTAGTTATGGCTGCTGCTTTTAAAGACCCAACTCTGCTGCCTTTTTTATACCTATTCATATTGCCTGGTCATCAGAATTGTGGGGTATGAACTAGATGCTAATCTTCCTGTCATCATCAGAATGATGTAGAACTAAACCATTTCTGAGCAGAGATATTCTAGCCAAAGTGCCTAGTTAAGGTAGTTTGACAGCACTAAGATGACCCAAGATACAATTACACTTGATTTATGTAATTGAATTACTACTCGTGTGCAAGAAATGAAAGATACCATTGAAACTGAGTTAAATATGCAAGACTGCTAGTTAGACTTCTTTTTTAATAAGAAACAGGTTTCAGAACAATCTTTGACTGTTACCATTTGGGGAGTTTACTGTTTACAGGAATTGTTTTCAGTAAAAAAACAGCACTTCAAAATAGCATATTCTGTGACAGAATTCTGAAGTCTTCTGTTTTAGTGCTTTAGCTCTCCCCATGCCAGTTGAACTAAAGTAACTATTCTAATTTCTTTCAACTTGTAAAAAGGACTCCTCTAGTTGATGTAAAAAAATGTAGCATACTTTAATATTAGAGTTCCTTTGTGCGATAAAGGACAGTCAAAATAAATGTTGCCTCAACAAAGTATCGCTCATAATAAGGATGTGCTGGCAAGGTGTAAGGAGTATCAGTCATGGCAAAGAATTAAGTCCCTTGATGACTGGACTTGAAACTAGTCTGCTGAGTATACTAAATTCATGAGGAGAACTGAATAAAGCCACAGTCATCATATAATGGCATTACATGGCAATTGTGGAGACTAAAAATGTCAGCTAATCCATTTTTTAATGCTGGTTGAAGTTGCAGCAGCTACCGGCAACAGAGCTCCAAGTGACCAATTTGTTTTGTTCATGCTTCTACAAAAAATGCAAAACATTTTTTGTATTAAAACAGTTAGTTATTCTTTGATTTTTATGAGGTTGTAACAGAGTTTCTTAAATTTAAAGAATCTCTACAAGTTGAAACTTTGAACAACTGCACTAGGTTTTCTGAGGCAGAATATTTATTATATTGCAGAATATGTATATATGTAATAATGTATAGAATATTGCAGAATATATATTCTGCAAAGATGCAGAATAATTAGTGAAAGAAATAATTTTCAGACTATAAAGGGTTTTTTCATTCATACTCCCAAAAAAGCTCAAGTTCAGCACTGCCTTGATTTGACTAGGGACCAACATGTGGAAAGACGAGAATTTTGTGTGAGATAACTATACTTAGAAAAACAGAATAGAAGGGAATCAGAATACAGAAGGAAGACATTGGGGTAATGAAGGTATGGTTTAAAATGAGAAAATTTCTGCTTTCTTGGCCAAGGTTTTATTTCTACTTCTCAGGCTTTATTTTAGTTTTGGTCCTGCTTGTCCTGTTCTCTGCAACCACTCCCCCCTCCCCTTCTCACCCTCAGATTTTATTCTTAGGAGATCTTATAGCTCAGGACATCTTGCACATGAAATCATTTATAAGACAATAGGAGGGCTTTCTCCAATTGAGGTGAAAGATTTGTATTCATTGCTTAAGGAAAAGTTCTTTTAAAGAAAAGCTAAGAAGCTATTTCAGGTTTTGGCATGAAATTTTGCTTCTGTTATGTAAAACGTGACAAAAGGATAACGGATATATATTTTATGAAAGAAACACAGCCTTATGAAACACTGTAATTATGGAAATAAGATCTTCTCCAAGAAGCTGGGAAGGTACATCTTTATAGTAATACCTTTACTTAGTCTTAAATAGAAATTTATGTTGAAGAAGAATCATAACTACTGGAAAGGAAGTATTTGTGTTTGTAACTAACCTCTATCACAACTTGAGAGTCATAAAGTAGTAACAAAGTCACCGCCAGAACCTTTGGAGTGTTATTATACTTCCATAGCCATGATTAGTTCTGCTCACCTTTTCTTTGCATGTATTTCTTGAAGGAGTTTCCTGATTAGAGTATTTGTTCTTGGTCAGTAGTTTCCCAGTTATAGCATTTTGAATGATTTAGACTTTCTCTCCTAAACTACCTTCCTGTAGCACACTTAAAATCCTTCCTCTGCAGTTGTATTGGGAGAGGAAATACTTTAAGATTGCAAGCAAATGCTTCAATGTAAGGACTGGAATCCATGAGTGCTGTTCTGCAGAACCTTTAGTCAGGCAATCTTGCTGAAGCTGACCAGCTTTTCCTATGATAGTCACAGTAGGCATTCTTTACTTTTTCTATGATTTTTACTATTTTGGTGAGGATGGAAGACTTCTCCCTTGAAGTGCAAACCTTTAGTGGATATAGAATGCCTTGGATGGTCACAACTTCTTCCAGAACTGGAAGGGAAACAAAATATCTTGATGTAAGCACTTCTGTACCAGTGGCTTTAGTAACTGTTCCAAAACCAAGTTTGATTTACTTTAACTGATGGCTTTGCCCAACTTCTGTGGTCACAAGTCCATTGATTATTCCTTGTTTCCCATCTTAACTGGTATTTCAAACTATGAAGTATATATAAGAAACCTAATGCATATTTGCTATATTAAGAACTATATCAGTGGCCCTGAATGCTTTAGAAGTCTCATGTTTGAGGTAGTTTAGTTTTGTGGTTAACTTTTTGCAGACTATCAGGCGTCACTGTGTATAACCTCAGTTTAAATGATTGTAGATCAATCAGTTTGGTTTCTGAAATTAAATATATGGGTTTATTTACATTTATGGAATAATTAGCTGCTTACCAAACTATTTTGTTTTTAACTAAAATAGATGTCTCCTGCCATGGTGGTTATTTAATTCTTTCAAGTGGTGTTCATTTTGGGCATAATGAATTGTAACTTAAGATAAAAGCTTGGTAAAAGTGGCATTCACCCATCTAAACCTATGATGCAAGTACTACAGCAATTCGGGTAGCATTGTGTTCTCTGCAAATGATTTTCAATCTAGTTCTTGAGTATAAGCATGGGAGATAGAGGCTAAGATGTGTGTCTGCAGATTAAGTCAGATCATTAACAGGACTGATGTTTGTTAGCTTTTTTCTGTGTCTGTCTTTCTTCATCCATTCTGGTTTTTTGTCTTGCAACAAAACCTGTCAGTATGTGTTGCTGTGAACAGCATTTTCCTGACTTGTCATGTCTGTGTTTTAAAGCTTTCATATGTTTCTTGTAACAAGCCCATTTAAAATGAGTTTTGACTGGCTGCCTGCTGCACGGCACCAGCAAATTCCCCGTGTAGAAGATTCTCTGAGTGAATCATGCATCCAGTGCCATGGGAGATTCTCCATATAAAAGAATAAAGATTTGTGTGGTGTGCTTGCTTTCATACCAAATATTCAGATACTTTCCTTTCCAGAGGTCACTATGCAGTGAAGGCAACAAGTAGTATATTGTTAGGTGTTTCATAGTGCACATCGTGGCTACTTCCAATAATTCAGGGGACTGCCAATTAAAAGTAAACTTTTTGCATTAATACTTTCTCATGGGAGAGGGAGGAGGGCTGCAGAAGCAGCTGAGTTGTGTCATCACCAGACATACAGCCCATACTGAATATGCTTCTTTTGCTGTAAGAAGTGCTTTAACTTCTGAAAAGCTGCTTGCTATCAAAACCTGAAGAGATGACTAAAAGCTTCTAAGTACTAGGAGGAATGTCTGCCAAAGGAAAGTCTTACTAATAAAATTGAGGAATTACTATAGACATGTTGTGAGAAAAGTTACGGAGAACCATGTGAGGGTTGTCATTTTCTAAAGAAAGTAAGAAATCCAGGAAGTATGAACAGTGCAGGGGTAGCTTCCTTCATTGGACTTGTGTGGGAAAAGCAGTTCATGAATTTTTCTTTCAGAGCATGTTGTAAATTCTAGCAGGTAAGTATGTAGCATTCTAATGGTGGAGTGCTACTATGCTAGTAGATGCTAGAGTTTTAAGGTTGTGATTCTTTTGTATTTTTGTAAATACTGATGTGGTTCAAGATCAAATCACTGACTTATGTAAAAACAAAACTATGAAAACTGTAAATTAAAAATTCAGCTGAAAATTCAGAGCAAAGAGGGAAAACAACTGCTGATTGAAAGATACAGTGAAGAGCCACTTTACTGGTTTTAATCTCATGGGAGGTGTCCTGACTTGTTCTAACAGTCCGATCACAAGTGAGTTAGCAGGTTATCCCAAAGCAGGGATGGGATATACGTATGGGGATCAAGAGAGTGTGTGAAAATAATTTCCGAAGTTTTTCAGAGCTGGAGTATTTTCACTGCAAGTCTTGGTATGTGTTTTGTGCAAAAGCAAATTTGTTGTAAAGCCTGGACCTTTGTTGCGAAGCCTGGTGTCACTGAACACTTTTTTTCTGATAATCTGACAGAGGGTTGATGCAAGAGTTAAGTGCTCTGACTTTCTTGATCTGAAGTCTGAGCTTACTTGCTTTTGTCCCAGCAGTGATAAACTTACTTTGTTGTTAAATGAAAATATAAACTTTGAGCAAGTCTTCACAATCACTGGAAAACACAAGATGTTTTAAACAACAAACAAAAATGTATTTGTCAGATATAATAGAACATGACTACTTTAACAAAGTTTTTTAAGTTTTTCTTAAGATGCTTTTGAAACACCAAGTGTGGGTTTTTTTGTTTGGTTTCTTTTGCTCCATATTCCAGCTTCTCTTCTCAAATATAAACTACATTCTTACAAGACTGATGTTGTAAAGTGTTCTAAATTTTCCAAAGATACTCTTGTATTTCTGTTTATGTTGAAGTGAAATAATGGTCAAATGTTAAAAACTGAAGAGTTCGGACATGTTTTGACTGCTTTTACAAGCTCTAAGTGTTAAGATGTTTTGCATCCCTTTACCTGTACTTTCTTGTTCATTGATCAGCACTTGTAGCATGTTTTCAGTAAGATGCATTCAGATTTCAGACTTCAGGATGAATGTGAAAAAGGATATGTCCTCTGGGTCACTATATGAAATTAGCACCACTTTGATGCAATATTTGCTCTTACCCTTTCTCAATTTGTTTGTGTAGTTTACTCTTCCAAGCTTTTTATTAGCTCATAAACTTAATTGTCCTGTTTTGCAGGCTTTGCTGTAGCCCAGTGTATAAATCAGCACAATCCATCACCACTCTCATCTCCATCACCTTCCAGTGGCAGTGGGAGTACAGGACGCTGCGATTCTGTGACTGCAAGCTCAACATCTACTCCTGCTGCACAGAGCCCTTCAGGTATTAAATAATGATTTTTCAGCCTAGGCACTAAGGGATGTAGTGTAGTTTATTGTAATCTAAAATTAAATTACTATGTTATTGGATTAAAAACAGTAAAGCTTTATGGTTTTAGAGCACTTGATCATTCATCTAAACCAGTTAAAGTAAGTTGTGGTGCAAATTTTAATGATCAGTTCAGCTTTCTAGAACTCTAATAAATACTTGGCATCTTTCAGCAGTGATTTTAAGTACTGGTGAAATAATGTCCGGCTTGTCTGACTTGTCTTCTAGCGTATACAATTTAAAATGTTCCTGGTTTTTGTTGTTTTGAAGTTTGTGGGGTTTTTCTAAACCAAAGTATTGCTTTGCATAAATCTGTAATGTAAACTGTTAGTCTTTGACCATAGTGGATAAGTTGATCTCCACATGAAGCATCTTTTTTTGAACTGGGTGACACTTGCTTTTGTATGTTTATCTAATACTCATGTTAATTTGTAACAATAGGCCAAATAAGAAATATTTGAAAATATTCAGGATGCTAATATTGTAAAGCTTTTGTAATAACACTCTTCTGACTGAACGCCACCACATTTGAGGAGGCTGTTTCATTGGTGCAGAAGAAGCTGCCATATAAATAGACAGACAGTATAACTTTCACAAATGTGGCTACAATGTGTTTGTGTTGGTCAGTTTATTTAGTGGGTAGGTATGTTTATACTGAGACTTCTTGTTAGAATGTCTTCATTCCTTTCTTTTTTGTGTAGTATTTGCAATGGTGTTTGTTCTCTTGTAATGGTGTTTGTTCTGAGTGCGAATTATGTGTGAGGTAAAGCCTCAAGCTGGAGACTAAACAAGAAGTAAAACCTGAAGGGTGCATACTGAAATGCTTTCATTATAGAGCTGACCTACTCTACCTCATTTTGTTTATAAAACAATAAAGGTAGCTTGGTTCTCAAGAGCTTTTCAAATAGCCCCCCTCATTTTAACAGTCACTTCCAATATCCATCACTCCTTGAAACAGTTGTTGTGGTTCCCCCTTTTAAGACATACCATTTCACCTTTATTCAGAAGCCTCGTGTAGATCTAGACTTTCTTGCAGTCCTACGGGAAACGATGTAATCTTTGTTAGGCATTTAGTGTTTTGTAGGTTTCACTGAACAGTGTCAGGAGATCAATGTACATTATATGTCCAAAGTGACTATCCTTGCAAGAAATATTGCTGGAAAGGATAAGAAAAGGCCGCTTATGAAATTTATGAATGATATGTAAAGCCTTCTAGCACCCAAACTCTGATTAAAAAGAATCTCTTACTGTGAGAAACTAAAAATAGGTGTAATTCTAGAATAAAATTTTGAATATATTTCTATATGCAATCTATTTGAAACTTTGGAAGAACCTCATTTTATTTTCTCTGTTGGCAAGTGATTGCTGGTGTCCAGTCTCTTGATGGGCTAGACAATATGTGGTGATTACGCAAAGGAGTGTTATCATTTGTCAAAAATGTCAGCATGGATTTGTATTACAAGGAAACATTTGTTTGACTACATGTTTCTCATTAGCCATTTAAAAAGGCTTATCTGCGATGTCCTTTGCTGTATTTGAATCTTCTGTGATCAGGAAGTGAAATGCAACTACAGGATCTTGGCAACAGTAGCTAAGAGAAAACTGTGGTAAAGAAAATAAAAAATCTAAATTGTTTTTGTTGCTGTAGGCATCATGCTAGTTCACAGAAATATCAAGCAAGACTATACTACATGTTTCAAACCGAGGTCTTTCAAGCACATATAATCTGACTGCTATGAAAAGCTGAGTAGATCCAGAGCACATAATTCCTCATCTAGCATCAAAAGATATTGTCTTCCTGAAGAACAATCATAGACTTTAGTTAACAAAATCAAGGTCCATTTACACAATATGTTGGCATTTGCATAGCATACAATTCTGTTTATTTTTCCTGAAATTTAAAAAGCTTGATTCCAGGTTGGTCATTGATTTTTTTTTTTTTTTTTTAATTATTTTATTTTAATTTTTTTTAAAGAAAAAAAAATAAAAACATCCAAAAACCTGAACCAAACCCTCCCCCCTGCCACCCCACCCCCCAAAAACCAACAAAAAAACACAACCAAAAAAAAAAAAAAAACACCCACAAAAACAAACATCCAAACAAACAAAAAAAAAAAAAAAAAAAAAACAACAAAAAAACCCCAACAAGAACAAAACAGAGGAAAGGGTTTTTTAAATGCCTGGTTTCAGTCTGCACTTTTCCAGTTTGGTTGCATGAACTGTCCACACTTAGTATGACCTTCAGTCTGTGGCTTAATCGTGAAGTATATTTGTAAAGTATGCCACATGTCATTCAGGAAACCAGTCTTTGGATGGGTTTGGGGTTTTTTGCATGGGATCAAGGCACACTGATGTAGTTGCTTTAGCAAATCAAGGTGTGAGGATACAATTCTGTGCCCTACCACTATGGGCATAGTAACCTTCAGGAAATTCAGTGGAAATGAACATGAGAATCTGCATCAGCTACTTCAGTCCCAAGTTGGCAGTTTGCGTTAACCTGCTGCAGGGATGACTTTTGAGCACAACTGGATTTTGTTCTGCTAACTCTACTCAGAAAGCAGTAAGAGTAAGACAGTGACTATATGTGTGTGCATGAATAGGTAATTCAGTGCAATGGGGCAATGAGCAGTTGATACTGAGGTGCATGCATCTATTCTGCATGTGGCCTAGGGATTTTGCTGTGGACCATTTTTACTCTGACTTTTAGGACCAAGCATCCCTGTCATGTATGTGATTGTCTGAAGGACCAATTATTAGTTCAGGTATATGTTGCTCTTAATATTTGAAGTGTATTTGGTGCATAGTTGCAGCATATCTTATAGTTTGGCTTCCTTGTGAAAGAATCATATTAATGCACAGAAGCTGTTTCTAAAATCAGACTAAAGCAGTAAGTGTGCATAAATCTTCAAAGCTGCTCTATTGGTCTGAACCTAACTGCTAATATAGTTGAGCCAATAATGAATATGTGATGTTTTGGAGTTACAGCTGAGTGTGTCTCAAGGTTCTTAGTCTAGGCTAGAGAGGATTCTGAAATCCCTGGATCTAGGACTTTGGTGGGTGGGATCGTGGGGAGGGTTTTCTCCCACCCAGGGAGCTGCTTTGACACTTGCTAATCTTCAGTGTCGATCAATACTATTGTTTATTCTTGGGAACAATGTTTCTGCATTAACTGATTTGACCAGTTTACTGCAAGTTTGTAAGCAGTGTTCTCATGAATGTTCTCCCTTTTATAGTATTTATATGTGATTATGATCTGGTAACTGTTGCCAGGAGCATGACTGTGAAAGAGATTATCTGTTTGGTATGTCCAGAAAGCTGTTCCATAGGCTTCTGCATGGAATAAGTGGTAGTGTCTTGACCACTGTCTGTTATATCAGGTTTTACTGACCACTCAGCCGAGTTACAGAAACAATTGTTGCTATTCACCCGCTTCAGCGTAAATCAATGTGATTTTCCTTTAGCCCGTTGAGAACAATTGAAACTAAACTGCCTTACTCTGCTGTGAAGCAGAAGAGGAGGCTTGTGTGATGTGAAGTGGCCCCTTCAAGGAGGAAGTAACAAGTAGCTGATGAACAGCATGCAGTTACCAAGATCTGTTTCATGCCCCAGCGTAGTACTTGAATGCTGCCACCATCTGTCACCTTGAATCTCCTTTCTCATTTCCCATTCCATTTTAAACACACTCACTCAAGCACACATATGTGCTCTCTGTCCCTCCTTCCTCTGCTCCCCTGTTTGTTCTGGCAACTGCTCAGGTGGTTGACCATGAAGAACATCTTGGCTGAAGTTCCTGAGCAACCTAAGAAGGCCAGACAAGATAAAGGGGAGATGTGTATATGAACTTCAAGGAAACTACCTCAACTACCATCCTTAAGAGCAACATCTAAAACCATGGCAGCTGTTTCTACAGTAAACTTGTGATTATAGTGTCCTAAGCTACTGTCTATTGACAGATTTAAACTGTTCAGAGTTCGATACATTTGAGATGGTACTTGTAATCTTCAGAGTTGTATCAGGAAATAACATTTGGAACATACACACTGACTTTTACATAAAACTGTGACAGACCAGAACAAAATAAGGACAAATTGCATAATTGTTAGTTGAGAGAAAACAATGTTACAAGATAGAGTATATATTAATGGTTAAACAGCAAAAAGATCTTTCAAAAATGTATCACAGAAAAAAAATTAATTTGATGTTTTGTAAAAATAATTTACTCGCTATTGCTCCTACCTGCATCAAACACACAGTATCTTAATGTAAGGAGGGAGATTAACTAAATTTACATGTAATCCTGACTGCTGTGCACGTTTCAGTCATTGTAAGAGAACAATAGTTGCATTAACTGCTTTGTCATGAGTAATATAAACTCTTACAATTCCTGAGTTCATCTGCTATCCTACCTAGCAGCGCCCCCATTTGCAGTATTTGGAGATTAAGTTTAGCCTTTTACAAGATCTCCATTCCGTAAAATTGAAAAAGTGGAAGTCATCCCTTAAAGAAAGCAAAATCCCTAGCAAGACAGAAAAAGCAGTATCAGGTTCTACAAACACTGCGATCAGGTTTGGGTTTTTTCTTTGTATTTACATGATTATTTTTTAAAAATTAACGTGTCTATCTGAAGTGTTGCTGTGCATAACATAAGAATGTTCTCTTGCTAGGCAGATGTTAATCATCAAGCTTCTGAGCTTAGAATACAGCCTCTTCTTGGCTACATTTGCTGGAACTGTGCACTATCTTAAAGTGCTTATTTTTATATATGCCAAAGATAAAGAAGTTCTCTTACTGTAAGTTAGCAGTCTTCCAGAATTATGTATGCATAATATCATCTATGCTGTATTTTATCACTTTTTAAGTCGTCTTAAGCTTTAAAATGCAATTGGCTTTAATATTTAAGAAAATGTTTACATTGGAGCAATGGATGGTGAGGGCTTCAGAAGGCATTGATCTTCTGTGTCACGCTGTATTTCACACTTCTGGCAGATATTGATGGTAAAAGGTCTAAAATAAGTACAAAGAGCTGTCCCTTGCCACAGATAACATATTGGATTCCAATCTGTAAAATAAAAAATATATATTCCAAGGAGAAGGTGATTAATCAAGCATGGAGAGCCTGTAAGAGCAGTGCCTGCCATCTTACTGAAACCATCCCTGTCTCTTCCCTCTATAACCAGTAATGTAAATGTGGTTTGATCTCTTCTGTGCTATGATGCTAGTAATTTTCTAACTAGGTGAGAAAGTACGTTTGTTTCTAGAAAGTTTATTTTTCTAGAAACTTTTGTTTCTAGTTTATTTTCTAGAAACTTTTGTTTCTAGTTTATTTTCTAGAAACTTTTGTTTCTATAAAGTTTTGCTTTCTAGAAAATTTTGTTTCTAGATGCACCAAGCATCATCATCTGAACTGCTGCTATCTTTTAAAACACTCTGTTTGGCTTTCTTATAAACCAAATCTAATACTTCAGTTTCATATCATAGAATAGTAGGGCTGAATGGCCTCAAGTATCCTCACCTGCACAGCAGTACACCTCTTATAATTTATGGCCAGTGGCAATCAGAATAATTCTATCTCACCAGAATTTGTGATAAATAACTTCTCTCAAGATTCCTAAAGCATGTGAGTAGATTATGATGGAAGTAAATGTCTGCCAGTCCCTCCTCAATGTAAGAGCTGTTGATATTGCCAGGCATAGCCCAAACTGTATTATGAATATTTCCAGATAGATAAGCAAAAAACTAAATTCAATTAAACTTGTTTATTTCTAAAGAGTGAATACTTCAAGCTTCAGAAGTATTTCTCAAACTTAGAAGACTCTTGGTGTGGTGTCAAATTGTATTCAGGATACCAGCAGTTATGGATGTGTCCTTGTCACTTATTCTTGTTGCTACTCTAACATTTATCCTTTGTCTTCATTCCAGTTTCCCTTCCTTGTTCCATTGTTAAAGCCTTCGTATGATATATCACTGTGTTTTCCTCTAGTAAGGTCTGGCAGGAAAGGACGTCGGCGGGTGTTTAGTCTGTCGGAGGCTGACAGTCACGGTGGACACTGGGTTTAGGTCTTCAAGCAGCAGCTGCAACAGAAACTCGCGCAATATCAATTCAGGCAGGTTCTTCCATAAGCTTTCAAAAGCCCATAACAGTTAACAGAACATAATTTGTTTCCATGCTGACAGCAGTGACAGTGAGGTAGGAAACTAAGGAAAGCATCATAAATATTTGTCTCTACTGTTTTTTGGGGAAGAATTTTAAACTAATAATTAGCTGTTTCTGAAAGCCTTATCTGCAGTTTCTCCCGTTTCTTGGCTCTCTTGCCAAAGATGGAAATTCTGCTATCCAGCCTCCAGCTTCAAAGCAGCTATGTCTTCATTTGCACAGGGGCAGAGAATGTAGTGGAATTTAGTAAGCACAGGCTCCTGAATTGACAGTAATGCAGGTACTTGGCTAGCAGCAAGAAATCTATAACTTGAGTAAAATGGACAAGTATTCAGCATAAGACTGTCCTTGGACTGTGATGGCACAAACTTAGTATTTCTGTGATCATCAAACTCAGGCAGATGGCTTTATGGGCTGTTTAATTGCCTGAGGAAAAGAAGCAGAAGCAAAAAAGATGGAAATGTGCTTCAGACTATCTTCTTATTTATATGTTTTAACTTGTATCTAATTAATTTATTTTTTTTTACTATCATGGCATGAAGATATTTTACTCTGTTAATATTATAGAAACATCCTTTTTCATTTTTATAGATTTACTTTGCATTTTTTCACTTAATGTCCTGCTATTTATATTTTTGTTATCCTTTCATAGTATGTTGCTGTACAACTTAGGGCACTTCTCTGTAGATTATATTCATTCATTCCTTTTCCTGTTCTTTTCTATCTTCTTTCACTAATAATCATCCTTCCCATAATATAACAGAAGTTGAGTGATGTGGTTTGAAATTTTTTGCTGTAATGATAATCTTGGTAGCATTATAGAAGTGCTGAAAAACACCTAAGGTTGCTGAATCCACTGCAATCAGAGAGACCTGCTAATATGCAGAAACTTGCAAAATGACACCCTGTTTTCAAACTTTGGTACTTAAATTTTGGGGTATGTGGGGAGTGTTTGTTAGAACTAAAAGTTAACATCATAACTGGTTTAAGAAACTGACTTTGCTCTCCCTGGTTTTGTTGCAGATCTGGCTTATATTTTTTGCCAGAACACTCTTACTTAAATACATGCGGGTTGGGGAAGTGGTAAATAGAAGTGCTGTTTTCCCATATTACATGGTAACTTTTTGATATTTAAGAGTAGAGCATATTTAAGTGACTGGTGATTTTATTCAGGTAAAAATGACAATTATTTTTGCACTTTCTATCCAAAAGTCAAACTGGAACCAAATTTTAGGAGTTTGGGGTACTTTTGAAAGTATTTTTATGTGTCATAGAGGCAGGAGTACCAGATGATGGGTAGAGAACTAAATCCCTAAACACAGTGGGTGCCTTGAAACTCTTTTGAATCAAGAGCTTGGTACTTATCTGGATGTTAGAGACACACATTCTTATAACAATCCCTTCTTGAGCTTTTTTTTCCAGCTAGGATGCATCTTTTTGCCAGTTGTTTATTCCAGTTGCAGAGACTTTAAGAATTGAGATCATTCATAAATATATATTTATCTACTTGGATCCTTCTCTGAATTGAGTATGGCTTCAAAAGGTTTTCAAATTTTGAGCCTCAAAGATTTTCTTATTACTAATTATTGTCCTGAGGCTATCTGTTCAATTAACTGGGAGGTGTTATATGTGAAGACTTTTTACATGAAGAGGGTAACTTGATATTTCATTGTAATGCCTCTTACATACCTCATTCCAAGGTGCTGGTTATCTGTATTGTATTTCTATTTGATTTCCTTCATCTGTGGTATAGGATTGTATTCCCCTATCCTTGTATCCAAAAGAGATGGGAGATGATCATGCTTAAAAACATACCTAGCACAAGCTTATAGTTGCAGTTTCAAGTTTAAGTATACACCTCAAGTAGCCTGTGGATTTGAGAGCTTGGTCACAAAGACATAAGTACCTCTCTCACTGCTGTAGTTTTATAGCTGTGACTGAATGAAGAGTAAGATTTTTAGTTAAGTGTTAGTCCAAAAGGGGATAATATGTTGCGAAATAGTAGTGAGAGCTGTTGACCATTTCTAGACAATGTTAGAAACTCTCCCTCCCCCAACCTGTTTATGTACTGGTATTTGCTTTCTGCCCCTGCTAGTGGCAGTTTGCAAATACCTAGTCATTTTGGCAGCAATACCATGCTGGGTTGCAGAAATCTGTCACTGCTACCCTTAAATACAGTAACAGTAGTGAAGCTCTGACAATGACTAATGAAATATTGAAAGCAGAGGAGAGACACTTCTATCAATAGTAAATAAAAGCAAGGGGGGGGAAACAGACGAGCTCTCGTTTTGTATTCTCTAGAAATACTGCAGCTAAAATACTGAACAGAATATGTTCTGCTTACATTTTATTATATTTTTATCTTTTTTCTGAAAGTTTTTTCAGACTTTTGGATAGAAAATTGGGACGACTTGTCTCCAGATACTACTTTTTTTTTTTTTATGGAGATGATTTTCAAATAGTTTCTTTGTGTCATTAAAAAGGGAGTCGCATTAACATTAATTTAGATCCTATGTGGAAGGATTTGGGGACAATACAGCATAACAAAAGAATATGTATGTCTGTCATGATCTCAGTAAACAAAAGTATTGAGAAAATGTATTAATATTTAATTAGGAGAGGGGGAGGGGTGATTTAAGAAATGAACTGCAGAATCAGAAGTGAAACAGCAGAACTGCGATAGAAATGTGAGATATATTTATATATATAACATTCCTGAGCAGAATGCCATTGATTGATAATACTTTATTTACCAGAATGTCTCAGGTTTCTGTATCCTGGATTTCGATAAATATTCATCCTGTAATTAAGATAAAAAAATAATCTTTGCAAAGAATGTTTGTTATTCTTTTAAGATTTTATAAATTCAAAAAATAAAATCACCGCAAAGACTCAGTTTTTGTGCAAACTTAAAGGTTAGTATTTGTCTTGGAATTCAGAGAAATCAGGCTTTATTCCAATGGTTTTAGCAGTTCATTTTCCATGCAAGACTTGCATCACTTCCTCTGTTATCAATGGCTACATTCTCACTAAAGCTTCTAGACTGCTAAAAAGAAGAATCTGTGCTTATTTTTCAAAAATAACCAGTGATGTCCCTTTTATTTAAAAGGAGACGGTTTTACAACCTATGAATTTTGGTTTTATTTAAGTGAGATGCTTTAGCCACAAATTCAGCAAAAAGTAAAATCGAGTGGGTTTTTTGAAGTGAGAGTACACCATTGTTTGTGGTTATTTTACCAGAAAGCTAAAAACCAATAATCTTGCTGATATCCCACTGATACCTTACTGATACACATTCCATTCTCTGCTTTGTTTTTCTTTTTTTTTGCCTTATGTTCATGCTTTCTCTTCTTTTCCAGAATTAATTGGAATCATACTGAAACTGAAATATTTTTAAGGTCACTGCATATTAAAAACAGAACCTAATTCCTAGCTTCTTTATTCACTACATTGCCGTGTAGACTTTTCTGCAGATGCCTGTACACTTGAACACATGCTGTTTCTTACAACAGCTCTAAAATGGTCTGTCTTGAAGCTGGATACCTGTAACTTTAATGGCATCTATTCCTCTAGTCTGAAAAGAAAAAAAAACGCTGACTTTTCTGGGCATACTTGCTCATATAAGGCTGTTACCGCCTCATCCCCTCCATTCACTATCCATCCCAGTCAAATGAGCAGTTTACTTGATCATTAGCTAGGATTTTAAGGGGGAAGAGGACAGTACAAATAGCTGTTAATGGTTGGATTTTTTCAATTGTGTGGGAAGGTGTGTAGTAGCATCTCAGTTTCCTGTGGTAGTAATGCTTTATTCCTAGTTTTATCTGTGTTGTATGATCCATGCTTAGGAGCATTAAAAAAAAAAAAAAAATCACATAACACAAGCCTGTATAAAAACAGGCCTATTTTGCAGCACCTTTCAGTTACAGTAAGCACATGTTTCTCCTTCCTGTTCTTCCATAGTACTGCTTTCTTTGGTTGAGGTGTCACCAAAATGAGAACCTGGAGTGTCAAATGAGAGAATGATTTCCAAATTTTTGTAAGAAGCAAGCCACCTCTTGGGAGAAGTAGTTATACAAGGGTTCATTTTTTGTTTGGGTTCGTTTGGTTTTTGGTTTTTGGTTTTTTTTTTTTTTACTTATTTCTAAAATGCTTCCTGGTATGTGGTGACTATTCTAAATATTGGAGAGACTTTCTTATTCTTCCCCTCAATTTTCTCTCTCTAGGAATATTTCTGATATTGCTTCATATTCAAATACTAGATGTGTAAAATTTTCTGGTTCCTAATTTGAACAGACTCTTGCTAGCATTTTATGTTATGCCTTCATAACATTTTGGTTTACTTCCAATTACTAAAAAGTGAGTATGTAAGCGTAGTGCTTCACAGAAGTGCATTTTCCACCCAATTATTCTTAAAAAAATCATAAATAATAGCATATTGTTAGTCTCGATGTACATATGAAGTTGAATATTGATTGTTTCTTTGTGTTTTCTTTTATTAGATGACGCTTCAGCTCCAGAGCAGCCTCAGATGACCATTTCTGGTCAGACGATGTTGACTGATGAAACTCTTTCAGCTGTCTCAAAGTCTAGCAAGAATGCTGTAAAAAACAGTGACATAGAAACAACAAACCTGTCTCCTAGCCTGATTCCTGCACAGCAGCCCACAATATCATTAATAACAGATGACAATACAGATGCACTAAGCGTAGAGTCACTTACACTTGTGCCACCAGTTGATCCACACAGCATTCGAACATTCAGCTACATTCCTCAGTCCTCTTTGCAATCTGAAGTTGAAGTTTGCAAGGTAAAAGAGGTAGAGGAAGAATGTTCTGACTAACGCCAGCCTGCAGACTGTGCTGAACAGTGAAGCAAATGCAACTAAATTCTTAGTTGTTTTTTCTCTGGGAGTGCAGATACTTCCTGAAGCCTGAGAGGCCATCTGGTCTGCAAGAAGAGGCCCGGTGATGAAAGAGAATGTGGGCAGCTTTTAGAGTAAACATCAGATACTCATCATATTTAAACTGGAGAATAAAGGAAAAAAAAAAAAAAAACAAACAAACAAAAACAACAACAACAAAAAAAAAACACACCACAAAAACTTTTGAATCTGGACTCTGTTTCCTACCAATTTCTGTTATACAAGAACATGAAAGTATTTCAGAGCACCAACTTTCTATTCTAGAGTTCCAGCTGCAGGAACTAAGTTAACTGTAAAAGGTCTACAGTATTATAGCAAAGTGAAAAAATTTTTGGATCCCTGGCTTCAGGATATTGTATCGTTACTTCTCTGAAACTGGAGAAATACTACTGACCAGAAAAAATTATATATTGTAGTACAGAGAAAACATTTCCATTTGAGACATGGTGTGGTTTTCAGTTTGGGTTTGTTGGGGTTTTGTTTTTGTTTTTTGTTTTTTGTTTTTTTTTTTTGTCTGTGTTATTTTGTTTGGTTGGGGTTTTTTTGAATCCTGATCTCAGTCATCTTTTGGAGGTCTGCATGATACCAGCAGGCTTGGCCATTTGCAGTGTTGTCTTCATAGGACTTCAGGCTTCAATATTATGTTTTCCATGTGTAATATTTATTTCAAGGTTTGATTCAAAGCAAGATACGTATCATGCTGTCTTTTTAAAAGGTAACGGCCTGAAACTTAATGACAAATGCTTATTGAAAAGAACATAAGGGATTTTTGAGACTACTTTAGTCTTTGCTTAACCAGCTACAGAGGAATGTGAAATATTTTAAGAGATTGCTATAGCTTGTTTTTTCACTTCTGACAGTAAAAATGCTACATCTTTGAGGAATGATGATATCTTTTCTACTGAAGGACAACTTCTAGAAGCAGACAGAAGCAGTTTTACTCTAAAGAGGTTTTTTAAATTTTTCATCTTCATGTAGGAAGAAGGTCACCACATCAAACTGATAATTCCGTTGCAAGTCTGAAACTGAAAAGGAAAGGTATTGTGTAGTTTTCTTCCTATCTGGGATAGTATCACAGTTAAACAACATTGCTACATAATGGTGATTCTGAGTTTATGCTTGCCTTACTCTGCTTCCTAGATCCTGATACCAAGTTGACAGAAAGTATTGGAAAAATGTTCATTAAAGTTTGGAATGTTCTTTGCTGATTTGATATGTAATTTAACATGAATGGAATTTAAGATTTCTCATCAGTTTCCATGTGTGTTAATTTAATAAATGAGCATATTGTCATTATTGGTCTGCTCATAACATTGAGTGCTTTCTGGCTCTCAGAGTCTGAAGACTACTATTTTCTTTTACTTGGTATTGTGATTTCAGTCATCAGTGCAATCTGTTTCCTCATTCTGTATCTACTAATGTTAATTTCATATCAAGTAGGTGAATCTGAAAAGTTTTAACCTACATCCTAGTTGCTTATTGTACCTCTTCCTGACTGTCAGGTGGAATACTTGAAGTGATTTTAAATGTTATATTTATATATGAGATTAACTTTGCTCACTTTTTCCATTTTTTCCTTCATGCAATAACCTGATCTATGTAAAACATGTATAGAAGGTGTCTGCTATTGAACACCAGCAATTTTTTTTCTGCCCTTATTAGCTTTTGCATGCAGTTTTGTTGATTTCTAGTTTTCTGTGACTTCTACTTTCTCAAATTGAATTAACCAATATTCTGACCATTTTCAGAGTAGCCCAAACACTAAATGTATTCTTAGTTAGGTGTCCTCAGCACTGCTATGGATATGGGATGAGAATCTGGCATTGTTGGAGTAAGAGCCTACCTTTTGGGGGGGGGTGTCATATGCTTAGGGTGAGTTTACACTGCAGTCACTGTTGCAGCTAACATATGTGTACGTGTACCTGAACAAGCATAGACATCAGTAGCAATTTGGGCATGAGGACCACATAAACTTTTGTTGGCTGAAATGATTGCAGTCCAGACTTCCTCTAGTATATTGCAGCATTACACTGTAGCCCCAGTAATATTCTGAAGATCATTATAAAAAATGATGCCTCACTTAATTTGAAAGCATTTTATGTTAGCTGTTAGCCTTAACTCTTGACCTAGATTACACAAAACGCCACTGTACAGGCTGAATTCCCTTAAATAGAATTAATTGTAAGCAGGAAAACCTTGATCTTTATTTATCTAATTTCAAATTAACTTCTAGCAAGATTAGGACTATACAAAAGGAGTCTTTTTAATGGGTATGAATAATTTCACCCTTGAGCCATACTGCACAAAAAATAGGACAAAGGGAAAGAATGCTGACTTTGTGCTTTCCATTGCCTTTCAGTGGCTTTTCAATTTCATGACCAGTTGTCTACTGAGAGCTTCACAGAAAATGACTGACATAGATACTATTATTAGGAAAGCGGAAGACTACGTCTACTGTCTAGTCCACTGCTGGCAGAGCCTTGATGGTCAAGGGATGGTAAGGTGGGATATCTTAGCAGTTCTATCAAAAGCTCTCTGCAAAGATGGAATTACACTGGGAAAGCTCTGACTGCACCAGCTCTACCAATGTCTGCTATAACTGGTACAGACCAACCTAAATCTCTGAATGGTGACGCCACAGAAGCAATTGATTTTTTACTTCTTTGCTTCTGTTATTAAGGCATACCTGTATACAATTCAACTGTGCTTCATGCTGCATTAGGAGACTTCAGAGTGTGAAAGCTCTGGAGATGCTGAAATAATCTGTCATTGGCAATCTTTTATCTCTGCAAGTACGGTGTTACTTATCTACAATTCCTTGAAGAGTATCATATCTATCTCTCCCTTATCAGAAAAACTCAAGGGCTGTTTCCTTATCCCCCTTTCACTGTAAAAAGGAAACTCAACCAAGAAAGCATTTGCACATCAGCCACAAATGTAGGTTTTTTCTAAACAAATGTTGATTTGAGTCAGCGTAACATCACTTTTTTTTAACCAAACCCAAGTACCAAGTTGCAAATGAGAGCAGCAGCTAAACAACTGACCATTCAGAAGGCTCACTGTTTCAGTGTAATACTGCAGAGTGAGGCAGAATCACTCTAAAATAAATATAGCCGTTCTCAGTGTTTGTTTGTAGAGGCTATGCCTATCTTCAGCCATATTCTGTTAACATAAAACAGTTCCATTCTCTTCCTTTTGAGAAGTGAAGCCAAAGAAGCCAAGGCATACTGAATGTTACTTCACTATTTTATGGTCTTTGTGTCTCATTTTACCAAGGTACCACTTGTTTAACAGAATTATGTGTTGCCTTCACTGTTAGGTCTCTCTGCCTCTTGCTGGTCCCTTTTGTTTTTCTGTCATCCAGTGTACAACAATGAGCAAGACTCAGGCTTTTCATTTGTGAAGAGAGTAATGGCAGCATACACTTGGTAATTTGGTAAAGAAGGGGAGGGAGAAAACATAAGTGTCCAATTCTAATGTCTGCTTCACCATGGGAGTAATGCTTGCAGTGTAAAACTTGCGTGCATAAATTAATTGTTTTGCAGAAATTCTTTGATACAGAAAGAAACCAAAGGCTAAGCTTTCTGCACTTTATTTTACAAGATGTGCAGATTAAACCAAATTCATTAGAAATGTGGTCACATATTAATACTAAAATCTGTATTTTGTGTGTGAAGTCACGGATTATATACAATATAAGGACTGATCTTATTTGTATTCTTTACTGCTAATTCATAATAAACTAAAATTTTTACTTTTCTTCCTTAAATTAAGATGAGCTTAAAAAAATATATATATAAAATTACACCTGTTAAAGAAGCTCCTCAACATTCTTCACTTAACAATACAGTTGGAATTTTCCTTTAAGTCATTTGGTGAGGAAAAATTCAGAATACCTTGCAGAATTCACTTATTCTTTTGCAATATTGTTGCTAAATGACAGGTATGTGACATTTAAAAAATTTTCTTCCATATTGAGAATTTAAGACTCAAATCTACATGAGTATTCAGAGTTTTAAGTCAATGTCCAGTGATTCATATGAACCCTTAGCCCAATAGAGACAGAATACAGGGGAAAATAATGTTGCTTTGTGGATTTGAAGTATTCTTGTGTGTAGAATTTTAAAACCAATGGTTAAAATAGTTTATTTATAGCAAAATCAGCAATCTTTAGGATTGAAATTACTGTGATTTATTTTTTTTTTCTAATTAATCAGCAAAACACGAGTGACAATAACTACCACACTTACTGCAAGTAGTCTGGGATGATTATTTTAAGCAATCTAGGAATTCAGTAACTGCCTGGCAACTGAGTGTCGTTTTACTAGTAGTAAATTAAACTTAACACTGTATGCTTGGAAGACATAGGTGAGTTATCAGACAAGCAAGTCAAACTGTATGTATAAATACGAAGCCACTTCACATAAAAGTAAGCAATCACATAGTGCTATCAGTGCTCTAGTGTAATCAGTCACTCTTTTTGCTGCACGTTATAGGTAAATAGCTACAGAATAGCCTAATGAATAGTTTCACTAACCTGCGTGTAGTACTCTTCAAAAAAAAAAAATCAAAAATCCACCATGCTAAACATTCTGACGTTGTCTTCACTAACCAGCAAAAGTTAAATGTGGAGTTGCTTCTAAAAGAATGTTGCACAGGCAGCAGCCATCTAGGAAACTAAGTGCTTTAGTCCTGTAGTTGAATCAAAGATTTGTGAAGACACATCACATAGGGAATCAGTGAGATCTAGGCATTTTGCCTCAAAGATGATGAGTTCTTCTACTTATTTTCAGGCAACCTAGTGTTAGGCATCTAAATATATGTTGAAAATTCTCTTCCTAACTCTTGCTGTCATTCTTCTTGAAAGAGTTTTTTGATATGTCAGTGGCCTACCTTAGGATATCACTGGCCTGGGCACTGCACTTCTGTTATCTAGAAGTCTTTGGAGTGGTTCTCCTGTGCTTGCCTGCTCTGTTGCTCTGACATTTCCCAACATTTGCAGCATGAATTATAAATTTTACTGTCTCCTATTGGCTTCTGAAAAGCAGATGGTGATCCAAGGAGGGTTTGCTAGAGTGGGATGTTTTTAGGGGGTGGGAGGGGGGGAGTGCTTGGGGTTTTTTCCTGCTGCTCAGGATTTTTTTGAGTAGTAACAGAGACATGGGAGATGCAGTTCTGGACTGAGTCTCAAACAGAAGGTTCTTTCATATGGAAACATATTTTTATATTGCATTTGTACAGAATTTTTCCTATTTTGATCTCCCACAGTTTTTAGATTTGCGCATTGGTCAGATTTGATTTCTTTTGCAGGGTGTTATAAAAATGTATTTTATGTTTAGTAATGTGTTGTAAATGTAAAGCTAAATTTTGCTTGTGTAATAAATGTGCACTGTGGCGGTATCTGTTTTATTGTTTTGCTAAATTGAATTGCTGCTTAGTATGAAAAGGAAAAACTTGAGTCATTGTTGTGACTGTCTTG